CTTTTACATTTTTATGTAAAAGAAATGTGTTGCTATGACACATAGCAACACATAAAAAAAATCAACCTTAAGCTTTTACATGCTAGCTTTTTAAAATCTGCACCACAAAGGGGCTGTACACAGGGATGTACAGTAAGCCTTGAACAGACTTATTTTTACCTCATCAGTACACATATGACATTTTCTCCCCAGAATGCGTACAATATGCGACACTGCCAATAAATGTCATCATCATCACAGAACTAGTTTGTGACCCAGATATTTAGTTTTTGAACAAACTTTTGCCCCAACAGAAAAAAAAAAAAAATCAGGAAAACAAAGTTCTTTGTCTGCCTTAGTCCTTCATAACAGTTTTCTTAGCATTATATTTCACATCATATCTCAACCCACAATCAGAGCAGATATTCAGTCGCTGCTGAAATCCAGCACTGCTGGGTGAGAGGACAGTCAGGTCATCAGCATACATAAAGTGACTGACCAGAATATCACCAATCATACATCCAGTTTTACAGAGGTTCATTTCATTTGACAGGTTGTCCATGTACAAGAGGCAGGTGAAGGAAGCCCAACCTGACGCCCACCATTACTCACACCGAAGGAAGCAGAAATGTTATTGGCCCATTTTACATGTGTTTTCTGGTTAGAATACCAGTAAACTAACATTGTTTTAATACTATGTGGAAGCTCCAGGCTCTGGATCTTTACTGCGTTGATTCATTGTTTTTGGCCTCTTTAAAAAAAATAAAAACTTCATAGATTCATAAAATTCTGCATTGAAAATATGAAATATTTCATCCACTTGAGATGAAATATTTAGCCACCATTTTAGCAGATAAATGCATATTTTGACCTTTTTTCTATATAATAAATCATTTTCACCATCAGAATTTGGAGTAAAAAACTCAGACCCTTTATATTGATACCAACTATAAAGTAATACAAATCAAATATTTTAACGTTTTTAAAATATTAGTTTCTGTTTTTTGTATTATTGGTTTTCTTAGCAATCTGATCAATCTTCTAGTCTCCAATATGTCTGTTTCCCTCTCTTTAACTGAACTCTGAACAAGAATCCAGAAATAAAGTTATCAAAACTTAATTTAATTAATCATATTTTGTGATAAGTAGGATGCATCCTTTATAAAATATATTTTGATTAGATTTCAGGAATAATTTGAACACAGAAACCATGTCTGAAGACAAACAGTGGTCAACATTTGGTCTATTTCAATTAATTCTCATTTTTATATTCGTATTTCAAATGTCATTTTAAAACATGTTGTAGAATCTACATTTCAATCTGTTTTATCCACATTAAACATAGTAATTGAAAATAATTGAAATTTTGATGACTTTTCTTGATTGTACAGTAGTACTTATGTAAAACAAAAAAAAAGGATGGAAAACAGATGCATTATAGTTTTCTTGATATAAAAAACGAACCCTGGTAAATATGTTTTATCATACAATGTCCTGAAATATTGAGTTAGAAACACAAAACATTTACAACAAGAGGTGGTAAAAAAAGTGAAGGAACATTGAGTCCACATATCTTTATCTACTATTGTTCCTTCAAATTTGAACCTATTATCTAAAATTATCAATCAGCACAATCTGAGTGCAGACTGACACAAAAAGCTTGCACAATATTCCACCACAGTATTATATTTTTTCAATGTATTTTATGCTAAATAAGGTAATTAACAGTTTTAAAAAGTTCCATGCAAGTTTCATTGATTGACTGTAAAAAGTCACATTTTCAACAGGCTATAAAAAGTAGCTTGTTGAAATGCCACTATTCTGTGATGTACCCTGGTCTGTAAATATTTACAGTTGAGACTCAAAGGAGCTTTTCATGTTACTGAGCTGCCATAAAATAATTCATGCTTTCCCATTCTTGTGGCTAAAATGTTTCAGCTATTAAAGTGTATGCATGTTCTCACAATGCTTTAAGGGCCTAACAATCTTGTTGAGTTTATGTGGCGTCAACAACTCGGAGCTTCCTTTAGTTTTTGAAAACATTGTTGCCTTTAGCTGCAGGTGCAGCAGAAATTGAATGTGAAACGATGGAAAATATTCAATTAACACACTCACTTAGTGTGAATCAAGGTGTCAGCTCCAGCACCAGTGAGTTTGGACATACCCATTACATACTGAAAATATTTTTTGAGAAACTGTCATTAAAATTCATCTTAAATTAAAGCATTTAGCATAATTATTATTATTATTTTATTCTTTTTTTTTTTTTTACTTAACTTTGATCTGGATCAGTGGGTTTATATTCCCTAAAAATAATCAAAGACGTTCTACTTTCTGAAACTTTGAGGTATTGATCTAAATCCCTAATTGTTAACTTTTACTCTGGACTTTATTTTTTGTAGAACAACATTACACTGCACAGAGTTGCTTTTCTTCTTCTTCTTCTTCATTTGTGCCACTTTTAACTTTCTGCCTCTGGATTCTCAGTCATGCCTGATCTTGCTCCAACTCTTGTAGTTTCTCCACAGGTTAAGTGTTAATTGACTGATCCTGCACAGATCTCTGTAATATCTTCATAGTTCCTACATCACCTTTTCCAGGGTTAAAAAGTGGGAACAGTTCACCTGTGAATTTTGCTGCCAGAGATCCAATCAGACATTTCTCTTCCACATTATAGAAGGAGATTTTTCTGTTGTCAAAGTTCAAATACACACCGACTGTTTTTGGATTTGACTGGACATAAATGAATGTCTCTGGTTCAGTGTTAAACTGAACAGTATCCTCCTGGTTGGGGCAAGAAGACAAGAACCAGAAACCATTTTTTGTGGTTGGAGGGAAACTTGCATCATGAGGGATTTCATGTTTATCTGTAACTCCGATCCACCAGGACTTCTTGAGGTCTATATCTGTATTTGCTAATGAAACCTCCCAGTAGTGTCGTCCAGAAGAGAAACCAGGTGATCCTCTGACTGCAGTGAGACAAGTGACTCTGTCTCCATCTGGAAACTCTGCATCAGCATTATCTCTCAGTATAGAATCCTCCATTTTTATTAGCTTATTGCCTGTGTCCACCAGTTGAACATTCACTGTTAAAAATTGAAAATTAGATTATAATCAATATAATCATGAAGAAAAATGATAAATGAGAATAATATTAAATAAATGTAAAATTACCATAATGCTTGGATGCTTCTGATAGAGTCGTTGGCTGCCGTGTTTCTGGACAGAAAAGCAAGAAGAGAAACATCTTAGAAATGTGATTTTGTATTATAAAGGTTTTGATTTGACTCTATAAACACAGGCAGCTTCAAATACTGCGTCCTACCTGTAGGCAGAAGTGGTTCATTCTCTAAGGGGAAAATGAAAAAATAAATGCAATTTTAGCTCTTTTATGTCACAAGTACAAAAACTTTAACACTATCTAGCATTGAACAGAGACAATTTGAGTTAGAAGAAGATGAGAGATTTGTAGGACTGAAAATCTGTACCCAACACTGTATAGATGTGTAATATGTTCATGTTTTTAATGTGTCCATTTCAACCTTTCTATCATTTAGGGCAAATCAAATTAACTTTAGTGTGATTAAATGCTAAACTTCTGATCACTAGAATGAGTTGGAATGTCTGCATGATTGGACTGTATTGGCTTCTTTTGTGAAGTGCCTTCAGATGATAGGCTGTGAATTGGCACTATATAAATAAATTATGTTGAACTGAAATTAATTAAACTGACTCACACAGAGAAAGAAGTGTGAATGAATTTTGTCTGGTTTCTTACCTCCATCTGTGTTCATACCCCCTGAAAAATAAAGATTAAACTTTAGGAAGTGATTCTAAATCCATTATGACTTATTGTCACATTTGTTGTTTGTGTGAAGATGTTACACAGTGACTTTTAGGATGTTTAGATGGATAAAAAGGTTCATATTTTGACATTTAGGTTGACGATTTTATTTAATGTATTTAATTCATTCTTAGACATTTAAATAAATTTAAATATTAAATTACCAGTTTCACTGGCAATATATGAATACATTTTATTTATTTATTTCTAATTTTTGCATTATGGAATATTACTGTGGAGAAAACAAGTATAAACATTTTTTTTGTTAATTCAATTCTTACGTGGTCAAGAGAAGAAATTTTAAATCCCAGTATCAAAGCAGACTTACTGTCATTTCTAAATGTTTGAATTTTTAGCCACAATTAATATAAAGTCTTGATGTGCAGAGCATCTGAATAATAACTGCCTTGTTAGTATATACCTAAAAATACTGAAAATATTTATTTCTATATATAATAAGCTAATGCTGCTATAAACCCCATGACTTTCTAAATACTTCTCCTGTGATAGTTGGTAATTATGATGATAGTTGGTCTCTAAAGTTCTCTAACAAACCAGTGAGGCTCAAAGAACAGCTGGATTTATACTGTGATTAAAATAAATGCATTTGGACTCTATTTGCTAATTAGATGACTTACACATGCATTAAGTTGCACAAGTTTTTAATTAGGAATAGCAGAGCAAATGGGACTCAAAACAAATGAATATCAGTCTTTTCAAATGTTTGTTTTCAAAGATATTTAGAAACCATGTATCATTTTTTGTTCCAATTATGTCCTTCTTTGTCTTATTTTATCATGTAAAATCCCTTCAAAAAACACATTAAATTTGATTCTAATGTGAAAAAGGGATAAATACTTTTGCAAGGCACTGTATTATTTAAACATCCTTGAGGTTTTAATAATTGTGCTATTAAATCTCATGAGGAGTTTTCTCAGCGATAAATTGGAAATTTTTTAACAAATGTAAGTTTTGCTACTGAAGTCTGAAAACAATAAAACAAAACCAGGTGGTTATCTTTTTAATCTAAGAATGTCATTTTGTGTTTGCTGTGTTTTCTTTACCATCAATTGTGTCTTCTGGTAATTGGCTCTTGTTAGCTGAAATAAAAAAAAAAACATATTACAAGATATTAAATGAATACTCATTAAAATATCACCATGCTTTAAATGTCAAGTATGAGTGCTCTCTGACTTAAATCAAGCAATTACCTTTATTCTTGAAGCACAAGAAGTACAAGAATAAAAATACAACTAATACTGCTGCCAGAAGTGTCCCAAGGGCCACCAATCCAACTACGGACCATTCTGCCTCTAAATAAAGAGCAAACATTGTAAAATAAAATAAATAAAATATTTCTCATAAAAGGAAACTTGAGAGTAAAACCACATACCTCTTTTGGATGATACAGGATTTTCCAGACGCATTCTGGTCTCCTTAGGTTCTTCTTTGAAGAGCCCAACAGAGCAGGAGACCTCAAAGGGACTGGAGACCAGAACCCAACTATGGACTGAATAAAAACCAGCAGAGATTTTGCTAAACATCACATTAGCAGGTGTGAGAGCTGTTTTGCTGTCTGACCAGCTCAGCTCAGGCTCTGGATACCAGCCGTCAGATTGGCAGCTCACATTAACTTTGTTATGGTCTTTCATCACTGCTGACAGGAGAGGTTGGTGTCCAGTTTCTGGAATAAGAAGAAGATGATCATTTGATGTGGAAATCATTCTGTTTGGTTTTGTTCTCCTTCTGTTTCATGGTTCTCACCTGTAACACTCAGACTAATAGTTGCACTGTCAGAATCATCAAAGCTGCTGACAAGGCATATATATTTTCCAAAATCTTTAATTGTGATGTTTTCCAGTTTCAGGCTGACATCACCTGCCTTTAATCCACCTGATGTTTCTTCCTTTAAGCCGAATGAGACTCGGCCAGCAAACGAAGCTTTCTGGGATGAGTGGTCGAAAGTTCTTGCCTTATAAAGCAGGAGTGGAGTATCATACGGATCACCCCAATGATACCAGCGCACCTCCATATCTTCTGCACTTTGAGAGGAAGTGAGCCAGCAGGGTAAGATGGCTGTATGGCCTCGCTGGACTGAGACATGAGACTTTACTGAAACCGTGAAAGTCTCTGAAACTGAAAAGAAAATCAAAATCAGAGTCATCTTTTCATTTTGTTCTGGTATTAGAGTATGTTAAGTGTTTCAAAGTAAAAAGTTCCCTTAATTTCAAGTCTTTTTCAAGTTTCTCAGTAGACCAAATGATCTATATAATCAATTTCCAAAACAATAAATTATAATGATAGTTGAGGTTCTACATGGTAAACATATAAGCCACTACAATGTGGTTGGGAACTGATTTTTTTTTTTTTTGGCTGTTTGAACTAGATTTTTCTAAACTGTTGGTTCCAAAAGACCATGATTTCTTTTTTTTAGTATTGATTTCTATGTTAATACATTAACATAAACAACACTTTATTAGAAAATTGTGATTCGTTTATTTACTTTTTTATTTCATGAATGAGTCTAATCATTCTCTATATGGGCACAAAGAAAACTGCAGTGTAACATGCAGAGCACATGCAAACCTCCAAAGCACCGGAGGAAGATAAGTTAGCAAAACAATGTCACAAAAAAGGACTTATCCTTCAGCGGAAGACAAAAGATAGAGTAAGAATTAAAAAAACAAGATAAAGGTATGTTTGTATTTCTCTTTGTAATATAATGTTTATCAAAATTATTTGTGGAGCTGCTCAATGAGAAATAGGTTCATAGTGACTTTGAAAGGTCCAGTTCAACAGCCAAACATTCATCATCATTATCATCATTATCATCATCATCATCATCATCATCATCATCATCATCATCATACACATAAAAAAGTCCATAGCAAAAAGGTAAATAAGATAATAAAAATAAAACAATTAAATTAAAATAAACACAGCACATAATAATGTTCACTGAGTCACAAATAAATGACGACACCAGTGGTTCCTCAATCTTGAGGTAAATGTGACTGTGCTAAGTGCAGGGTTTACTAGAATTGAAATTATGTTATTGCATGACACAGATAATCTACAAATGCATTTGTACATAAGATTTCTGAGTACAGCTGGACATATGGGTATAGCATTATGTACAAACGTATGTCTGAATGCCTCATATAACTTCTGCATGCTGCTTATTTTGTATTAAAAAAGCAGCACTGCCTACAGATGGGCAGTGTACAGTGGAGTACAAAAGTTTTAAGAAGAGCTATCTTTGCAGAGGACGAACACATACCAGATTTTCTCATCAGCATATTCGATTACATCATTCAATATTGGTGCCAAGATTGTCACAAAGGTAATGATTTATGAAATGTTCCAAGTATTTAACTTCATTTCACAAGTTGCATATGCTTATATTGATCCATATGATAGCATCTTTGTATTTGTGTGAAACTGAATTTTAACTTTAAATGAGTTGACTCTTGTGGTTGGTTCTATATATTTCTGATATTTTTTATTATTATTCAAAATGGCATGTTTGATAAGGTTTGATAACAATAATTAAAATTTCACACTGATTGATATTGTCTAGCAAAAAGTTTTTACATCAGGCTACATGGCTACTACATTAAAATATAGAGATGAGTGACTCTAAGCTGTAGTTGGTGATATGTTGTTTACTGCTGAGCATTATCATTTATGTGGATAAAACAAACAACATTTTTACATCAGTTTATAAGTTATGTGAAATGTCTGCAGGGCGACTGTTGACATTATTTGAAGGGTCAGAATCAGCCCAGTACCGTTCCACATTGTCAGGTGAGAAAGACTCACCTGGTATAAATTAAAATTTTAACTATTGGAAATACACCTAAGAGAAATTAAGTTTAATCAAGTATGTTAATTAATATGTGTGTATGTATTCCATCTTAAGTCCAGTACATGCTAGTTTTTTGTTGCTTTTATTACCAACAGGTGATACATGCATATAGGATAAAATGCAACAATCACAGTTAGAGATGAATTGCATTTATGACAGGTGTGCGAATGAGTTAATCGTCTGACTGCTGCAATCCACATCATTACCAGAAATTCAGGGCCCCAAAACCAAATTTCGCTTTGGGCCCCATGGAGGAGTGGGCCGGTGTTCTGATTCAAATCGAGCTTGAGTGTACAAATAAGGAAGTTGACTTTAGTATTATAAATGAGGCAAACTCCATATGAGTTTTAAGATCTGGTGATGAAAACAAGGTTTTATCAGGAAAAGTCACTTTAATGGATAAATGAAGAAGTCATGCAGACATGGACTCTTAGGGGAATGCTGCGGTATAAATAATGATGTGGGGAGTCGGAACTTACCGGGAGCAGCACAGCCGAGTGAGGAAAGAAAACCCAGAAACCAAAAGTAAATCATCCGATTACCTGGGATAGAAAAAAAATATTAATAAGAAACTGTACGAGTTATAACAAGATTGTGTGTCAATCCTGTTTGTAGTAGGAAAACAAACAGGATTGACAACTCATGACATGACGAGATCAGCTTTACGGAATGAAATTTAGGTCACATTTACCTGTGAAAGCAGCGATTGTAACTCTCGGTTTACCCATTGGGTCCCAGTGAATCAAAGGTGACATAAATGTAGCCACTAAAAAGCATTGATGATTCCTCCTGGGTTTTAGACGTGATTCAAGTCCAGGAGGGACGAACTGATACCTGCTCGCTTCTGTGGCTTAGTTATAACAAAACAAGGCGTGAAACAGACGTGAAGAGAGACTGCTACGTTTAGTTTTGATTTAGGTATGCAAAGGTGTGACCAAACTTGTTAAGCCACTATCTACAAAAAGTGTCATAAGGAAATGTGGCTTAAGTGCCTATGACTGAAAAACATTTAATAAGGTTTACATCTTCACTACTTTTCCAGTAGCTTATTTAAAAGGTTGCAAATGGTAAATAATGTTTTTTTAAAGTAAGCCATCATCAG